ATCCTTAAGGGTTTCTAAAGGTTTTCGCGATTTATATTATTGTTTCCAACGTTTTATATTTCAGGATTTTTGTGGTCCTACAAATTTTGACATAAATGATCGATCGTTTTCTATTGCAGAAAGTAGATCGGCTTGGAGGACCGACGAAGAGTTTGCGAGAGAAATGCTGGCTGGACTCAATCCAGTGGTGATAAGTCGTCTCCAGGTTTAATATCCAAACATATCATTCAAATTTTTACTTTCAGTTGTATAAAATGGTCGAGGTTATATCTCATCTATGATTATAATAATGTGAATATGCAAAAACAAATTGCAGGAGTTTCCTCCGAAGAGCAATTTAGACTCTACAAGGTATGGAAACCAACACAGTTCCATACGAGAAGAGCACATAAAACACCACATGAACGGTCTCACTGTTCAAGAAGTAAGTACTGTAATATATATACGTTTCCTTGTTTAGCAAGTAACAGTTTCATCATCATATCGTAAGGATTAATTGTTTTGTTTTGTGTTACATAAAAATAGGCTTTGGAACAGAACAAGCTATACATACTAGACCACCACGATGCATTGATGCCATACTTGACACGGATAAACTCAACAAACACTAAAACGTATGCGACCCGAACGCTTCTATTGCTTCAAGAAGACGGAACACTGAAGCCACTTGCCATAGAGCTGAGTCTTCCTCACGCACAAGGCGAATCACACGGATCCGTGAGCAAGATTTTCACACCAGCAGAGAAAGGCGTCGAGGGATCGGTTTGGCAGCTTGCTAAGGCTTACGCCGCGGTTAATGATTCCGGTTATCACCAGCTCATAAGCCACTGGTAAGTAATGGGTTATATTGTAATATTAATTTACAGTTAGTGTTTGGTTTCATTTGGACTGAACACATAACCGGTTATTTATATGTCTTGCAGGTTACATACGCATGCGGTGATTGAGCCATTCATCATTGCGTCAAATAGGCAGCTCAGTGTGGTCCACCCGATCTATAAGCTTCTTCATCCTCATTTCCGTGACACCATGAACATCAACGCATTGGCACGACATGTCCTTATTAACTCAGATGGAGTCCTGGAGAGAACAGTGTTCCCCGGCCGATACGCCATGGAAATGTCTTCGTCAATCTACAAGAGTTGGGTGTTCACTGATCAGGCTCTCCCCAGAGATCTCCTAAAACGGTATGATATATCAATTCTTTTTTAGAGAAATACCCTCTGATATCATTAAAACACTTCATTGCTTCAAAACTAACACCTTATAGTTTCAAAATTAACACGCATATAATAGAATAAATAAAACAATACTGTATTAATTAAAAGTTAAATATACATTTGTATTTAGTATTTGGGTTTATTTTTAGTGATTAGGGTTTAGTGTTTAATATTTAAAAGGTGGGATTAGGGCAAGAGTTTTGGGTTAAAGGTAATTTAACAATTTTATCTTTTAGTTAGTGATCATAATCATTTGTCTCATTTTCTGTTAATTTGGCCATAATGTTTTTGTGTTATCTAATAAGTCATTTGCCTTTTTTTCTTCAATTCTTGACGCGTACAAGTAACCTCTAAATTTCTTGTTTAACAAGTAACATTTGAACACCCTTGTTTTCACAGTGGAGTTGCCATCGAAAATCCAGACAGTGATAACGGGGTTGAGCTTCTAATCGAGGACTATCCATTCGCAGTGGACGGCTTAGAGATATGGTCAGCTATTAAGACGTGGGTGACAGAGTACTGCTCATTCTACTACAAGAATGACAAAGCTGTCCAAAACGATACAGAGATCCAATCATGGTGGACCGAGCTTCGAACCGAAGGTCACGGCGATTTACAACACGAGTCATGGTGGCCGTCCATGCAAACCTGCGACGACCTCATCGAGACATGCACCATCATCATCTGGGTCGCATCTGCTCTCCACGCAGCAGTCAACTTCGGACAATACCCATACGCTGGTTTTCTCCCAAACCGGCCTACCGTCAGCCGTCGGTTCATGCCTGAACCGGGTACGGAAGAGTACACTGAGCTTGAGGAAAATGAGGAGGTGGCGTTTTTAAAGACGATCACGCCGCAATTACAGACTCTGCTTGGTATCTCCATCATAGAGATTTTGTCTATGCATTCGACGGATGAGATTTACTTAGGGCAGAGAGATTCACCGAATTGGACGGCTGATGATGAGCCTTTAGAGGCGTTCAAGCGGTTTGGGAAGAGTTTGGAGTTGATAGAGAACAATATCATACGGAGAAACAATGATAAGAAGTTCAAGAACCGGACTGGACCGGTTAACATACCATACACTCTCTTGTATCCGAATACTACGGACTACACGAGAGAAGGTGGACTTACTGGTAAAGGGATTCCAAATAGTGTTTCTATTTAGAGATTAATACTCTTCTTTTTCTTTTATTCTTCTCAATTCACAGTTATGTGTATGCATTTGCGTCGTTTTCAGAATTTTTACTGTCACTATCCATTGTTCATATGTCATGTACCTGGTAGCTCAACGTGATATTATTTCTATTGGTTTTGTGTGCTTATGGTAATGTACTAATTGGTATGTGGGATTCGTATTAAAATTAACAACTTTATAATGTCAGGGTATAAAGTATATTATATACATTTTATACAAAAAAGTATTAAAAGTTTTATCGTGTAGTATCATCACGGAATAAAATCTCACAAGATAAGATATTAAAGCTAAAATTAACGAATCTCTACTAAAGTTCGATAAAGTTTTTATTTTCGAGGAAAGAACATCAAAGGAAGAGGACCATTATAAGACACACGTACAAAAAAAAAAGTAGTTTTTAGTAATCATTTTTAATCGCATTTTGTTTTCAATGATTTTATCGCGTTTGAAATCTGAAATGACAACTGTTTCAAAATATTACATATTATAGAACTTTTTTGTTGTTTCAAAATGATCCAATTTTTACATTTTCAATATATCAATTAATAGTGATTTGTAATTTTTAAAATGTATTAATATTCTATTGGTTAAAAATGATAGGGAATAGTTAGCTACAAAAAAATAATGTATTGGTAACTGAAATTTCATAAAAAAATTTAACATATGTGAAAATTTTTAAAATTAAACATTTTGAAACAGCGTGAGTAATTTTTAGTAATCATTTTTAATCGCATTTTGTTTTCAATGATTTTATCGCGTTTGAAATCTGTCATGACAACTCTTCAATGCATAACGATTACAAACGAAAAAGCTGGGTTTGTTTGACGGCCCACGAAACCCTTATCGGCATACAATGTATTTAAACAGAATTGTTTCTGTGCATAATTATGTTAAAATTGATTCCTTTTTCGATAAAATTATCATTAAAAAAAAATCTATCTAATACTCCATCTGTTTCATTATAAGTATCATTATAAAACTTTGCACACGAATTAAAAAAATATTTAATTTTACATATTTCTTATATAAAAACACAATAACCAATACACCTAACGACATTTTAACTAATATAAAAACAAGTTACATAATAAAGTTAATAAATATTTTATTGAAAGTCGAAAGCGATACTTATTTTGTAATAAAAAAAATTCTCTACAATGACACTTAATATAAAACAGAAGGAGTAGAAACTAGAAAGCATTTGCCTGCATTGTTTCTAAATTCAAAAATGAATTATCCATACCTAATTATTTTTAATATTAAAATACTAATCCTTCTTCCATTTCAAAGTTTTATAATGTTACATTTTTGACATATTTCACACACATTAAAATAAATTATTATATATTGTTAAAAATATTCCTATTCAGTTTAGTATTATTAGTTAGATGATAATGACTTGAAGCCAAGTAGAATGAGCTTTGAAAGAAGGATTCAATTAAAATTTTGTCTAAAATTAAACATTGAAAATGGAACTCTTTATAAAACTAGAGAGTAAGCTAGTTAATTAATCTTTTTGCCTCATAATGTTTGTCAGATTCAAGGCTTATATATGTGATCCTATCTCACATAGGCACATGTATGATATGTCATGCATTTTTCTTTCATCAGTTCTTATAATAATGCATTTAATCTTTAATCATAGTATATTTCATTCTTCCATAATACTTATTGTATTGTTAACACGATATTTTTGTTAAAAGTGCCAAACACATTTAACTCAAGAACGGCAGTGACAATTTTAATAATATCAGCGCTTATACTCAATTTCATCAAGAAAACTCTTTAACCAAATAGTAGCATATAAATATTGCTCGATAAGCTGTTCAACGTCACGACCACGCTGTCTAAAAATGTAACAATTGACTTCGTATTCCTAGAAAAGTCGCACGTGCACTTTTTAGGTTTTGTTTTTCAAAGTTGGGATTCTACATGAAGTTAATGATCCTTGGGACCAGAATTTGATCTTTACAGAAGGATCTTTTTATTTTGTTTTCACCTTTCCCTCGTATGTCTCATAATTAGTGCATATTAATACAACTACGCGGAAAACATAAGTATACATCACTAATCAAGCATTCTAGAAAAGTACTACAGTATAAAATGAGTTAATTTAGCATAACCTATATCATAGGGCGATGTAGGCTAGAAACATTTCCTCCGTGTAACATTTTGAAGCAAATGATGTTTGCTAATTTTCAATGGATCCAAATTAGTGCCGTGCTAATCAAGTCGTATAAGTAGAGCAAAATGAAATGTTGGTAATGTCATTTGTCATTTCGTAGGGCGGTACTAGGATACTTATAAAGTCTAGGTTTCATTTATGTCAAGATATGCATGTGTTTTACCAGATTTTGTCTGCCAACATAGTTATGCTTAGCGCTTCACTACTAATTTTCAAATTAGCTTACCATTTAATTCTACTCCGGGATTCGACACGGGTTAGTGATCTTGGTGCGTCCTGCTACATAGTCAGATTAATTGTCTTTTTTTGGTGTCTTTTGCAGAGTGGTTCTGCGTAATATATATATATATATATATATATTTGACTCAAGTTGTTTGTAACAAATATATAGATTTTGCTCGAATGTAAGAAACGAAAAAATAAAAACAAGCTTGTAGAATAATAATAGTTCAGCGTAATAGGACTGCTAGTCTAACAAAGAGTGGTTGGAACAGATTAATGATTTCATTTTCTGATTAATAGTATATACTTTCTTCCCCAATCTCTTCATTTTAACGTCATAGCTAGAACCGTTGAGATAAAGACACGTGACGACATCTTCTGTGCGAAGACACGACAGACACAAACCCACGTGGACCCCTCAGTTTAGACCTATAGGCCGTCTCATCGTACGGTCTCCGATAAAACTTCAGATACGGTACGAACCCTTCACGTGGTGACTTCTCGCCTCCGCCGACATTTTTCTCCCCGCGAAAGAACATCGCCGGAGACTGAAAAAACGACGGCCGTGGAGTTTTCTTGTGCGAAACCGTTTTCGTTTTCTCCGGCAGCGGCGTAAAGGGAAACAAACTCTTTCTGCATGCGGCTGGTCTCGCGTCTCTTAAGCCACGCCCCGCCGGAGACGCGAAAGATAGAGACCGCACGCTGAGAGGAGACACTTTGGAAGAGGTGGAGTCGACGGCGGCGTGAAACGGTGACGTGTCGGTTAAGGAAAGGTACCACGGCTTCAGCGAGTTGTGAGAGACGGTGAAGGCGAATCTTGAAGAAGCTGAACCAGTCTTAGCCGTTGATTTGATCGAAGATGCATCGAAACGTAGGGAAGCTGATCTAGGACATGATGACGATGATGATGACACGTGGCGGATATCTAGCTGCTCGTCGAAGTCTAGAGAGGATATTAACATCGTGACAGTAGATAGCTCCACGAAAGGACGTACACCCTGTCGATTAGGACGAAACGAGCTTAATCATCTTAATTAGGATTATTAAATTTAATGAGTTTAATTATTGGAGAATTATTGTTTACCTTCCAGATGTAAGAGAAGAAAGAGGGAGGGTCAATGATAAAGGCCTTGTAAAGTCGGCATGGGTAATTATCCGAGATCATTTTTAGTGTTGTCAAAAGCAGATTTGCAAAAGCAGAGGATGATCTGAAAAAGCCTGTATTAACAAAGAGAATATTAATCAAGTGGCACCAATAATTAATTGTCTAATCCAGTTTGGAAAAAGGCTCAAAGATGTATTTTTGCAGAGAATAAATCTGTACTTCATTTTCCTTTAAAAGAATGAAAATTGAAACGATGGAATTTTCAAAAACTTTTGGACAGGTAAAAAAGCATAAATCTTTATAAGCGTGATGCAGAAGAAATATTAATTATTTTGTTTGTAAAAGTATATTCTAATTCTGTATATTGTAAGAATATTGGTCTTTGCAAACTAAGGTATACATTTTTAGGTAGTTTTAAAACAACATGAGCAAAATGTTAGATAGGATTTTATAGCCAGACTTGAGTGTTTCTTCAAAAAAAAGTTTATTGATTTTTAAAAACCGGTAAAAAAAACCGGTATTTTTCCCTCTTTCGTTCGGTAGAAAAAAATAGATGAAGAATTGAACTTAAAAAAAAAAACATACACAAAATGTTTTTCCAATATATATTTGGAATTAATTCTAGGGCGAATAAATTCGTGATTACTGATTAGTCATATAATTGCCACACGATTAACGCTTTGTGGGTAGTTTAAGCTGACGTTGACACATATAAAAGGGACAATTCGGACATGAAATTAAATGCATAATACATGTCCGAAAACCCGGTCCCCGATACGCCTCAATCCAAAATAAGAAAACCAAAACCAAAACAAACCCAAACTACGGCGAGTAAATAACGGATTAGTACAGACCCCACTCACGAGCTTGGAAGGTTAAAGGGACAAAAAGGTAAATTCGAGAAAAAATTACTTACTTGCATCGAAGAGTAGAACAACGCTCTGTTCCGCGTTTCTGGACATGCTCGAGATCGCAGTCTCCATCGTGAACGCCACAAAACGCATAAACCTTCAAAACAATAAAACACACAATTTTCAACATTATTAAAAAAAATCTATAGCCTCTCTTTTAAATAAGAAAAACGTTTCCTCTATTTAAAAGATCATTGTTGATTACATGAAATTTAAATGATCAGCACTTACTGTTTCTGGCTACGCAACTTCTGATAGTCATGCTTGAAACGGAACATCTGTAAATCAAACTCATTTTGTTATTATTGCTACATATTTAATGTATAATAAATGAGTTATGAAGAAATTACGATAACGGGTCTGGACTCTCCGTCGTGGCCGGCGATGTAAGCTACGCCGTCGGTTAACTCCGCCGAGAACTCCTCTTGCCCCATTCGCTCTTAAATTCAAACAAAGACAAGACCTTAAGCAAAGTGTTTCTATGTAACAAAAACTATTTTTTTTTTTGTAATGTAAAAATCGAAAATAAAATAAAAATACCAATATCAAAGTTTTGTCTCCAAGAAAGGCATGAAGTGAGTTGCTTCGCAGCTTTTTTAACGTTGTCTCCTTTCCCTTTCAAGAATCTCTCCACGCACTCTTTGTTACAGAACTTCTCCTAAACATATATAAAGGTGGAAGCTTTATTCATGGAATATACAATAAACATGCATATATACATGTTTTCTGTTAAAATAAATAAACTAGACCTACTTGTTTAAGAGTGAGTGGAGTTTGTTTCTTGAGTAAATGAAGAACAGCTTCGACTTTCTCATCTTTCTTGCCCATTTCTTGATGATGATCTCCTTGTTCTGAAAGGATTTGTTGTTCTGTTTTCTTGAGGATACAATAAAGAAGCAAAAAGATTGTTTTTTTTTTGGAGGGGGAAGAGAAGAAGCTGACGATGATTGTAGGTATGTGTGTGTGTACGGAAAGTTTCTTTCTTGGAGCAAAACCGCAAGTTTGTTTCGTGGAGCAAGAACCTTTGTATGTCTCTCTCTATAAAGAGAGAAAAAACAGAGAGAGTAAGTATGTTGTGTTATGGAAACGGTTTCTGCCAAAGCCTTACAAATGTCGGGGAACTTATTGGCTGATGACGCCGTTATGTCGTTTTGCGGACGTTGATGTCTTACAAACCGTTGGCCGCCAGTGACGCTATCTAACGCCGTTAATTTGGCTCCGCTTGTGTAATTTAACTTTCTTAACTTTCAAAAACTATTGTAGCATGGGCTAAGTCAAATGTTTGTTTATAGAAATAGTACAAATAATTGAACTGTAGAAAATAAAGTTTTATTATAATAAATCTCTTGCATCAAGTTGTGTTGTACTAACTATTTTGTTCAGTGTCTCGTTGCACATCTTTCTTTTAATCGAATTTGATGTTAAGTTACATGGATTAGTCGGTTTTCTATAGCATTGATCCATCATAATGCATTGAGGTTGTAGATTACTATAATAACAATACCTAGATCTTTATATCGTCAACGTCTATATATAACCTAGCTCACGTACTTACAATGATAGACACTGACACCGGCCAATTAAATGATTTTGCCGCAATAAGAATTCCCATCAAATTATTCTAAAATGAACCGCTATTAGCTAGTGACTTAACTGGTTTCATATAACAATTACACACTAATAATTTCTTTAACTCGTTTGAAAGAATGACATAACAATTTCCATTAGAAGTACCCCATGCAAAGGTAACGTTATTGTGTGGAGACCGAGACTAATATGATTTTTTACATGTAGTTTTAAATATTAACAGTTTGGTGTTGAAATCCGTAATCTCCTAAGATTCAACAAATAGTTCTTGTTCATAAAAAAACATAATCTCTTCAAGTCTTCATCTGATTGAAAAACGAGAATCCCCTGTATTTTTTTTGTTTTGCAAACTTAACATTGAACAGAAATTATTGATGTGACTAAATGTTACTATTGTTTTTACTCTTACACCATCATAGGTGCAATGCATAGCTGCCAGTTCCAAGCTGTTGTACGTACCCATGTCTTGTTCTTTTTGAACTTTTTTGGTACCCATTTCTTCCAGGTTTTTAATTTTCATCGGTAAAACATAAAGAAAATTTGTTTTTTTCTGTACTAACATCTTATCTCAATAGGATTCTCCGAAACAATAAACAAGGAAAAGTAATATAATAAATTTATAAAAAAAATAAAAAAATACCAACGTATTATATTTTTATTTATTATTATTACTATTATGATTTAAAACCTCTTTGGAATATAAATAAAATGCTCTAATAATTAACCAGATTAAGTTACAAAACCAACATATTCTATAATACCTTTTGTGGTGGTTTAAAATAAAAATAAACGCTCGTGATCCCACCGAGGAGAAAAACCACTGATACATACTGTATTTACCACCTTTAAGTTATTCATGATAGGGTTGATCACCTTTACCACCCCCCTCCTTCCAATTCAAATGGGAAACTTTTTTAGTTTACTGTATCCGTACAACAACAATTGAATTTATTAATTTAAACACCGTATGTTTAACTAATAGGTGGTCAATTAGTCTCACTAAACCTTTTTTATTAATTCTAAACTCTAGCTATAATGGTCAAAACCAAAAGGCAATTAGTGAGAATAAATATTCTCGAAGAAAAGAGACCGTTGTCGTCACGGCGGCAACTAGCTCGTATATTATGTGGTAGTCAAATTACAGAGATATCCAGTAATATATCATCCTATATCCAAGTGTCAAAGGCAAAAGATAATACAAAAGCGAGTTCACGTGCTCGTTTATAATGCTTTATGTCTAATGCCCACACACCGACAAAGAAAGTCAAAAGACAATTGATGATCTCTTCTGTATTAACTTCATATAGAATGCACCAAGAAATCTTTAAAGGATGTGACGAATAAAATAAGTTTACCTGGACAGCTAGATTAGTTATAATGATCAGATAGACGCTATATAGTTTAATAGTTTTCTCTATGTATTTTTGAATTTTAATGTTTTGTAGTCGTTGATAATGATAATAGCGATTAAATCATATTTGTATTACAGTTTTCTAAAATAGCTGAAGAATTCAGTAATTCCGACTCAAAGTTTTAAATGTTAAAATTAAACTCTAAATTTCGTTAAATATTACTCCCACCGTTTTGAATTAGTTGTCATTCTAGATAATTTTTTTTGTTTCAAAATATATGTCATTTTAGAGTTTTGAAGCAAAATTTGTTAGTTTATATGATATTATTTTTTCTGTTTGGTTGAAAAGTGGTTAGGTGTATAGGTAATTATATTTTTATCTTGAAAATATGTAAAATTAAATGTTTACTTAATTTATGTGTAAAAACCTAAAATGAAAAGTAAAATGAAACAGAGAGAACATTACTTTTTGAGTAATTGGAGGTGATATACAGTTTAATTCCACTTTTACATATATATATATTTATATATATATAGAAATTATATTTTAAAAATCGTTTATGTAAATTTTACCTACTTTTCAGAATTCAAAATCTTAATACATAGTTTAGTGCAGAATGATGCTCACTATCCATATACAATGTGGAAGTGGTGGGGATAAGGTAAAGTGATTGTGTAATTATGATGCTCAATCACTAAGGCGAATTTTGGGTGGATGATTCATTCTAAGAAGCTAACAAGGTGAGACAACTTTGGAATAAACAGAAACCCTATTTTCATATTTAAGAAGATGAATATGAAAAGGAATTATATGAGAGGTTTTAGTGTTTTGACATACAATTAAATGATAATTCAAAAATGATATCCATTAGCAGTTGTATGGCTTGATCTGTTTGTTGGCCAAAAAATGTTTTTATCGAGTTCCATCCCAAATATATGACCAAAATTATCATTGATATTATAATTTTACCATTTGTTCTATACTTATCACACAAACAACAATTCACCGACCATTTCTGTGTATTGCACATTCGTGCAATCATGCATCCGTATCCCGAAATTTAAAAGGGAAAGAAAAAACTAACAATTACAAAATATGTGCATAATAGGACAATTCAACAGCGAAATATCAAGAAGCAAAAACATGAAGTTATAAGAAAGAAACGACAGCCAAGTGCCTTGTGTTGTGCCAAAGTATGCCCATCTCTGCTATTCTTGAGCATGTTGAAATGAGATTCTGACTTCAACTTGACAGTGTGATAAAATGGGCCGGTGATTCTCGATTTGTTTTCTTAAGAGACAAAAGCAGAAACAATTTCAAATTTATAAGTGAGGTTCTGTTAGTACAATGGAAGTTTTTGTTTTGGTTTTGTAGTGAAAACGAAAATTGGAAAAAGGTTTAGTAATGCATGATGCCTTAGTAAAATCGAATTCATATACCAGCCAAAAACCAACCAAGCATGAACAAACTTCAGGCAGAGGACCCAATTCTTTCATTAGAAAAGAACCTCAAACCAATTGAGGTAGCTTGCCGCTACGAAGTTACAAAAAAGAACCTCGAGAGTATACTTCCACTCCAGAAAAAACTGTCCAAAACTAGGTAAATATGAAATCAGTAATGCTTTCTCACAGATGAGATAATATAACTTAGTTAGGCCTTTATTGGGCCTGCTTATAGAATATGTTTTTTACTATCTTAACTAGGAATCAACCTGATAAAATTGATTTCCGTAATGCTTTTTTACAGATGAGATAATTTAACTTAGTTAAACTTTTATTGGGCCTGCTTATAGAATATGCTTATTACAATCGTGACTAGGAAACAGCCTAGTTTAACGATTATTTTGATTATAGTTAAATTATCTCATCAAAATAATCTTTAAACTATAATCTTTAAACTATGCCATTATATATTTTTGATGGATTTTAATTATAAAAGATTATTCTATACTTAAGTCATCAATCTAATACAGTCCCAATTCTATGGTTTTGTCGGCTGAAAAACCTTTGAAGGTCAGATAACATCCTTATGTTAGTTGCTATTGTTACTAAATTCATTTGTATGCACTAGGGCTTGGCACAAATGATTGATACTTGGCTTATACTCGATATTTGTCTCGGTTTGGTTTAAAAAAACAAGTACTTGCTCTAGTCAAGTCGAGTAACAAGTAAACATATTTTATTACTCGCAAGTACAAGTTAAGTATCAAGTTCATTTTAATTTTTAACTACTTGGTTTGTTACTTGGTTTATTACTTGTTATCATTTACTTGTTACTTGTCATATATTACTTGATTTATTAAATACTTAGTATATATTTCATTAATTAATTAAAATTTTAAGAGTGGTCACAATTATTTGTTACTTGTCACATGTTCACTACTTGGTTGGTACATGATCCTTAAAGTCAAATACTTGTTTTGACTAAGACGTGTATCAAATAGTCTATTTAAACTGCCTTAAAATACAAACATATACAAAATAATAAAATAAACTAACTATTCAGCGTTGTTTGGTTTATTATTCGTTTTTTGTTAATAAACAAAATACATTTTCCTAAATTATAGTAAAAAAAATCCTTTATATTTCAGTTTTTATAAGTGAATCAAACATAAGTGATATAAATTTATACAAACATTTTGAATTTTGTTTTCAGAATATAATTTATTTCATGAATGACTAAAAATCAGAAAATGACAAAATGAAAACAATGACATATTATTTATATATAGTAAATTTATTTATTTTCAAATTTTAACAAATTAGTAAAATAATTTACCAATAGTTATCAAGTAATTTGTAAATATTTTACAAATAACAAGTAATAAAACAAGAAAAGTAACTTGCAAATCCATCAATTTTTTGCAAGTACATGTAACTGCAAGTACTCGTTTTTAACAAACCAAGTACAAGCCCAATATTTAAATACTCGTACAAACCAAACCGAGTACTAAGTATACCAAAAATACCTAAGTACTCGGCTTGTACCTACCCTAATATCTACCCTAATATGCACATGCAGTACATACATTATAGTTTAAAGATTATTTTGATTATAGTTTAAAGATTATGTTGATTAAAAAAAGAAGATTGTTTTGATTAGATTACACTGAACATCAAATTAACTATA